GCCAGCCACCCAGGTTTTCCACAGCACGCCTTTCCCGTGACCCCACGCCACCTGTGTCTGTGTCCCGTGGTGTCTGTGTGGTGCGTTTTGTTCTTCTGCTCAGCAGCTGCCATTGTGAACAATGCCGCTGCCCTCCCAGGAGTGCGGGAAGACCCAGTTTCGCTGAAGGGGACTTGCAGCCTGAAGTGACAGGTCTCAGCATCCATAGAGCAGTCTCCACGCTGTGTGCCACCTGCGGTCGGTCGCTGGGTCATCCTCCCCCCACCTCTCATGATGGCTGGGCCACTCACTTGCAGAGACCAGAACCAGTTCTCAGATATCAGCCCGTTTGGTCTCTGGGCAGGTGTCCACGGCCCTGCTGTCCGTTGGTTCTCTCTGTTCCCCTTGTTCTCTGGTTGGGGCTCCCAAGCCTGGGTCTCCAGCCTGCTCACCTCTGGGGGCTTCTGCTCCCACACACGTCACACCTGAAAGTCTCCCTGGTAGTGTCCCCAGCTCCCTCCCTCTGCATGGCCCAAGCAGAATTCACCAGCTAGCTGCTTTCTGCAAAATGCCCTCTCCTTGAGTGACAGCCTTGCAGCCTCCAAGCCCCAAGGTCATCTTCATTGCCCACGTCTTGCCCTTGACTGGTACCTGTGGGAGTGTTTGGATATACACAGTGGCCTTGTCACAGCTCAGGAGCCCCGGGTCCAGAAGGAAAGCTGGGGGCCTGCACTGCTCCCCTCCCCCACTCCACCCCTCCATGTGAGGGCCAAGCTGTCTGCCCACCTATCTGTAACACTTAGCAACGTGGTGGTACACAGCCAGTGTGGTGGTGCCTGTCTTGTCCATGTATTCTCTCACTCCACAGATACTGCCTGAGCTAGGCCACTGCTGGGGGCTAGGGAGATAGAGGTTTACAGATAAGAGTCCCTGCTGAATCACAGATAAGAGTCCCTGCTGAATCGGAACTTGCATTCCAGTGGGGGGATGGAGGGTGGCAATTGGGAAACCACAGGAACAAGTCTGTGGTGATCAACGCCAAGGAGAGAGATGAAGTAGAGCAAGAGGGCACAGGTAAAACTTGAGCAGACATGTGAAGGGAGGGGGAGCCAGGTACCATCAAAGGGAAGGGAGTTCAGGCAGGAGGGACAGCAGGTGCACCCTCCCAGGATGGAACCAGCTGGGAGCAGCAGTGTGGCTGAGCTGAGTGAGGATGGGCATGTCAAGGGCCTGGGAGGTGGCCGGAGCTGGACCACACAAGGCCATCCACCAGCAGAATGAGATCCAGGGCCCAGGATTCATGCTGCCCTGCCCCTCTTTGGAGGCGGTGGAACCAGGGTATCACGCCTCCTGCCGGAGGCACCTGAACCACCTTGTGTGTTTCTGTTGCTAGTCTGTGGTGGCTGAGACCTGTGTGTGGTCGGGAAAGTCCCCAGAGCCAGAGCCCTGGTTTTGGGAAATGGCTGCCTCTCGGTGCCCTTGGTCTTCCTCACCTGCATACTGCAGGATTTGAACCAAGAGACTGGTAAGGGTTAGCTGAGCTCTGCAGTGTTGGAACCCTCCTTCCCCACGTTAGTTAGGGGCACTCATTGGACTTCGGGTCATTTTAGGGTAATAGCAGTGTGCAGATGCTGTTGCTGGTACATGTCACATTCTTACTATGTTTAGCCTATCAGATGTGCCACTCCTTTGTTAGAAAAAAGAATCTGCCAGCTGTAGGCAATCTTGGAACAGTCATGGGAAGCAGGTAGAGGAAGGAGAACACCTTCAGTGGTTTATTTACCAACCTCCCTTCCATTTTTCCACCCATTCACCCTATAGTTGTTACTGAGCACCTGCTGGGTGCCAGGCACTAGGCTGGCTGCCTGTGCCACAGTGGTCTTTTCGTTAAAGATCCTGACCTAGTCGTCGTCTTTTTTTTTTTTTTTTTGACAGGCAGAGTGGATAGTGGGAGAGAGAGAGAAAGGTCTTCCTTTGCTGTTGGTTCACCCTCCAAATGGCCGCCGCGGCCTGCGCACTGCAGCCGGCGCACCGCGCTGATCCGATGGCAGGAGGCAGGTGCTTCTCCTGGTCTCCCATGGGGTGCAGGGCCCAAGCACTTGGGCCATCCTCCACTGCACTCCCGGGCCACAGCAGAGAGCTGGCCTGGAAGAGGGGCAACCGGGACAGAATCCGGCGCCCCGACCAGGACTAGAACCCGGTGTGCCGGCGCCGCAAGGCAGAGGATTAGCCTAGTGAGCCGCGGCGCCGGCCTTGACCTGGTCTTCTTGTGCAGTGGTGTTAGCTCTGAAGATCATGTGGGAAGGAACCCCGCTCTGAAAGACAAAAGCCTCTACCTCACACCATGTACAGAAATGAACTTGAAAGGATCAGTGACCTAATAAGAGCCGAAGACATAAAACTCTCAGGAAAACACAGGGGTGAATCTTCATGACCTTGGGTTTGACAGTGGATTCTTGGATATGACACCAAAAGCAACAAAATAGGCAAATTGGACTTCATCAAAACCAAAACGTTTTTGTATATCAAAGGGCATTATCAAGAAAATGAAAAGGCAACTAGAGTTGTGATAAAATTTTCTTATCATGGATCTGATAACAATTTAGTGATCAGAATTTAAAGAATTCTTAAAACTCAGCCACCCAAATTAAGATAAACCCAATTAGAAAACAGAGGACTGGAAGAGACCTTTCCCTGAAGACACACAGGCAGCAAGTGAGCACATGAGGAGAGGCTGGACATCGGTTAGGCACAGCCACAGCGGGAGACCACTTCACGCCTGCCACTGTGGCTGTGATCAGGGCCAGGAACAGAGCAGGTGTTAGTGGGGTGTGGCAGGGCAGGACTCCTCCTACACTGCTGATGAGAATGTAGAATGGGAACAGTTTGGTTGCTCCTTGGACAGCTGAGGGTGAACTACCAAATGCCCAGCCATCAGCTCCACTCCTAAGATAGACCTCTGGGACTACTGGCAGGGGGCTCACACAGAGACTTGTGCACCAGTGTTCATCACAGCACCACTCATAATAACTAAAAGATAGAAGCAACCGAGTATCCATTGACAGATGAATTGATAAGCAAATTGGACTATTACTCAGGCATTGAAAAGAATGAAGTTCTGATACCTGGGAAATCATGGGTGAACCTTGAAAACATGCTATGTGAAATAAGCCAGACATAAAAGGACAAACAGTATGTGATTCCACTTATATGAAATATCTCAAGAAGGCAAGTCTTTGGCAACAGAAAGTAGAGTGGAGATTGCCAGGGCTGGGGAGTTAACTGCTTTGTGGGTACAGAGTTTTCTGTTTGGGATGCTGAAAAATTTCTGGCAATGGATCGTGGGGATGGTTGCACAACATTAATGCCACTGAATTACACACCTGTAAGTGGTTGAAGCGGCAGTGTTGACACCCTGTACATCTTACCACTTGGTGGTAATTCAGGTGAGAGTGGAGTGTCAGAGGAGCGTGACTTTGCTTTGGGTCTCACCGTGCAGCCGGGTGACATCAGGGTGACCCCACATGGAGCCTGGGGCCCTCACTGGAGGCAGGAGTCCCATTAGAGGACAGGTGTAGGGTGTCTCAGGGCTCACGGGGAGTGCTCGGGTGCCTTCCCGTCCCCTGTAATTCCATCCTTTCTGCCTGGTAGAGAAGACAGACTGCAGTACCTTGTGGAGGTCAGCAGTTACCTGCTCAGTTTCCTGTTCAGCTGTCTGATCAGTTTCCTGCAGGTGATGGCCCAGCTCCTCATCGCTCACCTTGTGGGGGGGGGTGTCACCCATTTCCCTGCCGCCTGTACCTGTGCTGGCTCTCAGCCCTTTCTTCTCTTCTCTGGGTTGGCTGTGACACCTTTTGGAATCCGAGCTCTGTTCATTAGAAGTTATCCACTCAGCCACAGTCATGTGCATTCACTTAGTTAGAATGATATAAAACCATAACAACAAAAAAAGCCGATGAAACATTTGAAATACCTGGACAAACGCTGAGTCGCAATGATGAGAAAGAATAAAAATAAGCCACCCCCAAACAAATGTGACAACACTGTCAGTTTCTTTGACGCAACTAATGTTAGGGCTGCTGGTCTGCCCTGCTGCCTGCCCCTCCCCCTCCAGCGGTAGGAGCTGCCAGGTGGTAGAGCCACCTTCCCTTTGCCCAGCTATTGAGGTAGATTCTGTGTGACCCCAGCGTCTCCCTTGCCAGTGAAACAAACCTCAAGATTTGAATGCTGAGGTCGGTCTGTATCTTCTTGGAGACCCAGGCACCTGCCACACCCAGGTACCCCTCCCCATTTTATCAGTTACCACGTGCTATAACTGGATTCTTGGCTTAGAGTGGACAGGTGCACCCCGAAGGTGAACAAGCAAGGGTCTGATGAGTTCCAGTTCCTTAAGAAGCCCAGCTTCTGAGTGCTTAACGAGTCCTGGCAGCTCTGAAGCTGTGCAGACAGGTGCAGTCAGAGGGGAGGTGCTGGTCATGGGTAGGAGGGGCCAAGGCCAAAGCCAGGGCTGGCCTCAGCACGTGAGGTGGCCCACTCCTACTCTCCAGGGCAGTGATTAGCGCAGGACGGTTTCCCTGTTGGGCTGGAAGGACCCGTAGCCATCACCACGTGTCAGCACTCCAGCCCACGCCTTTTGCAAAAGCGAGAGGAAGTCATTTCCTGAGTTTCCTGTGTTCTAAAGGCGCGTTGCCCACGTTTTAACGTTTCTGGAATCCTCACAATCAAAGGGTACTTCGAATGTACTGTTTCCTGAGAAAAACAGTAGTTTCTGTTCCCCAACCTGCAGAGGCTGTGGGGAGTCGCAAGCCCTGTATGTGCTGTGATTTTTTTCCCTATACATACAGTACCTGTGACAAAGCTTAATCTATGAACTAGGCACAGTGCGAGATTAACAGTGGTAAACGGAGATGAATGCACACTGTGATAGGGTATTGAAAACTTAGGAATTGATTTCTGGAATTTTCCATTTCATGTTTCCAGACCACGGTTGACTGCAGGAAACTGAAACCACAGAGAGGGGGAGGGGAGACCGTAGCTCTTCTGCATCACCTGTTCAGTCGCTGTGCCGTCTCAGAGCGGAGGGAACATGGTCAGGCATACCCAAGTCATGACTCAGCTTTCTGAGACTACAGAATTAATTAGAGGGAAGGAAGATTTTTCTGGGCCATTTCCTTCATAAGAGGAAACTTAGCAACGCGTGAGCCTTGGGGAGTGTTTATGAAGATTATCTCGGAAGGTAAGACCCAGCCTTTACCCAGGTGATGACAGCCACAGTGGTGATTATGCGTGGGCCTCCCCCGTGCCCGCCCCTGGTGAATCACCTGTCTCTCACCTGTCAGTTGTCTATGGACTGAGCTGCAAGGCTTCACGTCCTTTGGAGGCTGACCCGTGTGACCTGGGCTTGGTTCTCTGAGTCTCATTTACCGATCTGTGAAATGGGAACAGCACTGCTGCCTGCCAGACCCAGTCAGAGCCAATGGAGTCAGAAGTGATGGGTGTGAACCAACTTGAAAAGCCCCGAAGACTTGTGGCGCCCGTGGAGGTTCCTCAGGAAGCCGCAGACGCAGACAGGGGTGATCCCAGGGTGTTGACAGAGGCAGCAGGGAGGTGACGTGGCAGCAAGTGCTGGGGCCAGGTCCTGTGCTGCACGGGGTCTGAAGTTGCAGCGCCCTGGAATTATTTACAGATCAGGAACTGAGACTTAGAAAGCTTGTCCAGGGATGTGTCAGCTTGGGACTGGAACTTCCAGCCAGCTCTGCCACCCTGAGATCCCCAGCCACCCAGAGCCGCTAGGCAAAGCAGCTCCTGGCCCAAGTTATCAGTTGCATCCTGAACTCAAGGAATGTGTTGTGTGTATCTCCAGCACGTGGAAGGCCTAAGAACAAACAAGGAGTAACTGTAACGACAACTCTCTATTCTCTTTCTTAAGAGCCTAAACTATTTTTTTTTTTAGTTCCAGTTATACCGCTCTGTGTAGTTATGGTATATTTTTATACCACATGTTTTCGTGTAAATATGCATTTCATAGAGTCAGCCCCAAATCCTGTTGGCTCTCATCAGTAGGTCGGCACGCCTTGCATAAGTCATGTTGAAAGTTCCATCAATTTTCTGACCTCATTTTCTCAAGACTCAAAACGCTGGGAGTCTGAATAGGCAGCATACAAATGCATTTGACCTTGGTTTCTGGAGGGACCTGCACCCAGCAGGGGTAGGCACCTGACAGAACCTGACAGGCAGGGGATCAGAAAATGGGAAGGAGCCTTAGCAGGCTCCACGCTGGGGCCTGGGCTGATGGGAAGTGGAGTGTGGTGCCCCCGGCCGCCTGGCCAGCTAGTGACAGAGATGGTGATACTCTGTGCTCACCGGGCCGGGCTGGGGGTGTGTTCCTGTAGTTCCTTGAGATAAAATTACATATGGCAAGGATATACTGGCAAGGAGGCTTGGGTTTCTCTGGCCCGCCTGCCCCAGCTTCAGGTTCCTGAGCAGGAACAGGGGCTGGCCCGCCGGCCCGCCTGGGAGAGCCCAGCCTCAGCTGGGATGCGCTGCTGTGATTAGCACATCTCAGACCTTTCGGGGTGACTCAAGCTGTTTTCTTTCCCGAAGGCTTCTGCTGCTGCTTTTGGCTGTAAAGGGGTGGGGGCCGGAGCCCAGGACAGAAACAGCAGGGACTGACACCCAAATGGGTGTGTCCGCGCCCAGGGCAAATATTAGCACAGTGTTTTTGTGAAGTTTACGTAACTCGACTCATGTCCCCGTAGAGTAAATTTATCCCATCCTGTTTTCCAGTCTGCGTGGGGCCTGCACAAACTATTCAGAGAGAAAGTGGAAAGAGAAGGGTGCCCCGGCTTTGCACACAGCACGGCTGAGTATTCAAACATGCTGTTGATTTTTTGAGCTTTCCTTCTGACTTTCGGCCTGTTCAGACGCTTTTATCCCCTAGTTCATGGTTTGTTTTAGGGTTAGTTCTTTTTCCCCCAAGAACAAGGTATCCATTTAGAATTATTTCTCATGAGAAATTCACACAAAGATACTCAGTTCTGGACAATGCTCCGTTGGGTAAGGCTTCAAGGAACAGGAAAGTTGGCGCTGTTGAAACAGAAGTCACAGTAGAATCTCGCTCCTGGAAGCCCAGAGTTCATGCATCTCACCTGGAGCAGCGTCTGTCCGTCCATCTGTCCCCTGCAGCCGTCCCACGAAGGGTCTCCTCCAGCTGCCTTGTTTGCTTCCCTCTCGTGACGGGGAGCTCCCTCCCATGCAAGGCAGTCCCTCCCTCCTCTGTGGTGTCTTGAATGTTCAGAAGCTCCTCCTTCTGTGGCAAACTCTGTTTCATGTCTTACTGAGCCCTTGAAGCCCCTCCCCTCCAAAAAAAAAAAAAAAAATCAGCCCAATGCTGTTAGCTGGGTCCCAGTTAATCTGCACACATGCCAACCCCAGAGCTTCAAGCAACTGCAAAGCAGGGAAATCTCTCTTCTTTATAGGCGAGGGAACTTGGTCCCAGAGAGGGGTAGGCAGTCTTTCTCAGCTAATAAGGGGATAAGCTGGATGTCCAGGCTGCCAGGGCCAATCCTAACTGGTGACAACCCCACACACACACACACACACATACACACCCCTTATGCTGCTTCCTCTCTCTGCCAGAGACAGCCCCTGGGATTTCTAATACCTGATCTTACCCTTCTGACATTTCCCTGGTTGCAGACAACCCTCAGATGCCCCTGCGGCTGGTGCTCTGCCCCTGGTCCATGCACATTAGGTCTGCGGTGTCTGCTTCCCTCAGCCAGTTCCCCTTGCTCAGGCGTTCCCATGAGCCTTAGTGAACTGGTCCCACCTCCTGCCCCTGGGCCTGTAACCCCCTGGATCTTGGTGTTCCAGGTGCACCCCTCCTCTGCCCCGCCTTCCTGGCCTGGCATAGCGCTGAGTGAATGACCGCTGAGTAAGTGGCCCGGAACTCCAGATCCTGACACTGTGGCCTGCCCAATGCCAGAGATGGGCTCCTAGCAGGGAGGCTGTTTCCCGCAGTGTGGCGCCCTTGAGACCCTTAGTGGAGGGGCATTTGACCCCCATTTCTCCCAGGTGGTCGTTTTGCTGGCTCGTCCGTTTCTGGGTCCATCGAGGAGGCAGGTGATGGGGTTCATGGATCTGTGCTCGGTGACCGTGCGGGTGACACGAAGTCACAGTGTGCATTTCTCTGCAGCCTAGCCCACAAGGGTCACTAGAGGTACCCATGTGTGTGCCAAGTGGCAGCCGTGTCCTGTGAAACATGGCAGGGTGTGGGTTCCAACAGCACCGGGGCAGCAGCTGCTGAGACACTGTCTGGAGAACAGGCGTTTAAAGTGCCCGCATCCCACATCAGAGGACCTGGGTTCCGTTCCTGACTCCAGCGTCCTGCTAACGCAGACCCTGGGAGGCAGTGGTGATGGCTCAAGTGCTGTCCCTGCCACCCACGTGAGGAGGCCTGGATTGAGGCCCCAGCTCCCATCCTTGGCCTGGCCACTGGGGGCATTTGGGGAGTGAACCAGGAGATGGCAACTTCCTCTCTCTCTCTCTCTCTCACCCTCCCTCCCTGCCTCCCTCCCTCCCAAATAAAATAAAATAAATTAAAAAAAAAAAAAAAACGCTTCTAAAAATCTCACTTAAAAAGGCCTCCTGAAACCTGTGTAACTCAGGATTAGGGTCACCTTTGGGGGGAAGGTTGAGAAAAGGACCTGAGTAAGGGGTTCCCGCCGGCTTCCCGAGAGCTGTGCACCTGGGATCTGGGTGCTGCTTCTTCACTGACTGTACCCAGCCCAAGCTTCCCACTGGCCTGGAAGCAAAGCTCAAGTCCAAGTTCACCAGCTTCTCCTGGGGGCGGGGCGCTCTTTATAGCCACAGGACTGCAGCTCCCAGGGCCGCGGATCTTGCCCTTCCAGGGGCTTCAAACGACTGCTTGGTATCCTCCCCGTATCAAGTACACCTTTCTTATTTTGTTCGTTTTGCACATGTCCTGGTGCCGGGCCTATAAATAAACCCCTGCCCATAAAAAGAAAACTCTCTGACATTCTGAAGCTGTAGGAGAACGAGGGCGCTCATGCTGGGGCCCGCAGATGGCTCCAGCAGCCGGGCACCCACTCCCTGAGCAGGTTGCAGGATCTATGGGACAAATGGTCTGGTCCCAAGATTACTTGTGGAGTATTACCCTTGAGAATCCTCAGCCTGCCTGAGTAGTGAGCTGCATTGTTAAAGTGACCGTGTAAGCATTGTCTCCCACATAGTAGGGGATAACGCGGAGCTCAGAGTTGAATGTTTTTTTTGTTTTTGTTTTTGTTTTGTTTTTTTTATAAAACGAGAGGTATGAAGTATTTTTATAATTGTGTTATTGCTAACTATGATCATTATACTCCTGAACAGGCTTGAAGATTTAAAAATTAATTTTTCAGTTTACAGGCACTGGATAAAAATGGGTTTATGGGCTTTAACATTGAGTTAGCAACAGGAAAATGGTTCTGCTGGTGAATAGATTTGCTTTTCTGATTAAGTACATGTTCAGTAGCAATTATGCTTACGTTTAAAACCTGAATTTTATGTTAATACATTTATTTTTGCATTGCTCCACAGTAATGTATGTACTTTGAAAAGTTTAAAAAGCCAAGAAAGTGGGAAAAAAATGGTAGAAGGTGGTATTGGTGAATTGCGGAGATGGAGTCACAAGGAAAAAGATTAAATTCCATATGCCAGGTATAGGTAAATTTTGCAACCAGCTGCAAATAATTTAAAATTAAGGAAGTGAAACAACTTACATGGAAATGTTTCCTAGGAGATACAAGCATGTCACAAATAGGAGCCAAAATCACTAAAATTTAACTTGTTCAGCTGTATTTCATTAAGAACATTTGCAGAGCTTAATACACCACGCAAAATCCATGTGTTTTTTTTTTTTTTTTTTTTTTTTTTTTTAGAGAAAATGTGCATTGATTTGGGAAGGGTGTGCGTTGTGGAGGGACCGTGGGCTTTGTAACGTGGGTGTCACGAGTTGTTGAGGACTGGAGTCCGTGGGTGCATAGATGGGTTTGAGTGAGCAAGTGGAGTCATCTGCTCCCCTAGGACCGTGAGAGAGCCCCTCTGGGCGCACGTGATGGGCATGCTGCTGTCTTCTCTCTCTCTCTTTTTTTTTTTTTTTTTATTTGACAGGTAGAGTTATAGACAGTGAGAGAGAGAGACAGAGAGAAAGGTCTTCCTTTGCCATTGGTTCACTCCCCAAATGACCACTACGGCCGGCGCTGCACAGATCCAAAGCCAGGAGCCAGGTGCTTCTTCCTGGTCTCCCATGCAGGTGCAGGGGCCCAAGGACTTGGGCCATCCTCCACTGCCCTCCCGGGCCACAGCAGAGAGCTGGACTGGAAGAGGGCCAACCAGGACAGAATCCGGTGCCCTTATGGGATGCCGGCACTGCATGGCGGAGGATTAACCAAATGAGCCACGGTGCCAGCCCTGTCTTCTCTGTTTTGACAACAGTGCTGACAGCCACTCTGGACAATCTGTGACTTCAACAGTGTCCTGAGAAGCACTTCTTCCAGACCCCGTACTGGGACAGCTGCTGAGCTATAGAAATGCTGCTTTCCTCTGGGAAGTGACTTGGCACCAACCCAACTAAGACCCTGGCTGTGGACACGGATGGCTAAAGCCCAAAGGCCCCCTGGCGGTGGTGCTCAGACCATCTGTATCATACCACCACAGAGTGACGTGGGGATTGGTGCTGCTTTGTTTTTCTTTTTTTAGAAGATTTATTTAGTTATTTGAAAGGCAGAGTTATAGAGAGGCAGAGGCAGAGAGAGATTGAGGTCTTCCATCCGCTGGTTTACTCCCCAAACTTCCAGAGCTGGGCTGATCCGAAGCCAGGAGCTCATTCCAAGTCTCCTAAGTGTGCACAGGGCCCAACCACTTGGACCATCCTCCACTGCTTTCCCAAGCCATAGCAGAGAACTGGATCGGAAGTGGAGCAGCTGGGACTCAAACCAGCACCCATATGGGATGCTGGCTGCAGGCAGTGGCTTTACCTGCTATGCCACAGCACTAGCCTGGTTTGGATCCTGGATGAGGAGGAAGGAAAGGATGCCACTGGAACAGCTTGCAAAATTTTCATATGGACTATAGATGAGCTAAGTGCTTTATCAATGTGACATTTCTTTTGGGTGATCATAGCACTGTGGTTATGAAATATCCTTGTTCTTGAATAATACTTGCTAAAATGTTGAGCGGTGAAGGATCATGATGTCTTCTCTAGGCAGTACAGAGAAATGTATGGAGTGTGTGTGTGTGTGTGAGAGAGAGAGAGAGAGAGAGAGAGACGTGTGTGCGCATGCGCAGGAGAGGGAGACAGAATGTGGCCGTGTTTGACAGTTGTTTGAATCCGAATCAAGGGAGGGCATACAGGAGTTTCTGTTTTTCTGTAGGTTCTAAAAATCTTTTTTTTAAGTTTTGACCCGCAGTTTCCTAGTAAATCACGCAAAATGCACACATCTGTTTTTCTTTTGCTTTTTTTTTTTTTTTTTTATTGTTGACAGGCAGAGTGGACAGTGAGAGAGAGAGACAGAGAGAAAGGTCTTCCTTTGCCATTGGTTCACCCTCCAATGGCCACCATGGCCGGCGCGCTGCAGGCGGCGCACTGAAGGCAGATCCGAAGGCAGGAGCCAGGTACTTATCCTGGTCTCCCATGGGGTGCAGGGCCCAAGGACTTGGGCCATCCTCCACTGCATTCCCTGGTCACAGCAGAGAGCTGGCCTGGAAGAGGGGCAACAGGGACAGAATCCGGTGCCCCAACCGGGACTAGAACCCGGTGTGCCGGCGCCGCAAGGCGGAGGATTAGCCTAGTGAGCCGCGGTGCCGGCTTTGCTGTTGCTTCTTAAAACATGAGTTGACTCTGAGAAAGCGACCATGGGCTTTGAACCTTGGACGTTACGAATCGTTAAGGATTACTCAACCCAGATCTCCGTGGTGGGGTTCAAGAATCTGCATTTTAATGAGCCAGCCAGACGGTTCCTAGGTGCACACATGACTGTAAGTCACCGGTGACCGGGAGTCTGACTGTGGTCGCTAGTTTGCTAGTAACTCCATCATCCAGCATGCTGCCTTAGGATTTGATCTCATCCTATTCGGCACTTAAAAGCCGATAGGGCAGCCCCCACTCAGATGTTTGTGACTTTTACCGTGGAAGTTAATACCCCTTAGCACTGCTCAGGCCTGGCCTTTTAAGAGGCAGGCTCTAGGTGCCGTCCCTGTGTGAGGCGTGGACGGCGGCTGCACAGCCGTGTCTTCTAACCCATGTGCAGTGAAGTTGT